ATATATATAGGTTAAATGAAGAATTTTTATATATATTTTTCCTTACGGGTAGTTTAGAAAAATTTAGGTAGCTTCAAACATTATTTTTGAATAATATAGAATATTTTATATGCTTTTATTGATGTTATAAAGTATTTTAAGTATTTTTAATATTTATATATCACACTTAAAAAGAATATTTTGCCAAAAATAAAAACATTAAATACACAGTGTAAATGTTAATAGAAACAGTCTTCAGTGTTCGTCTTTGATTTTGTCAAAACAAATCTCATAAAATCGGTGAAGTCAAAATTTGTAAAGTCTATCTATACTAAAAAAAGATAGATTCAAAATTCCTTATCTAATTTGTTCTTTTCCTTATCTAATTCCCTCTATTATCTAATTGTATATAAATTTGTTCTGATTTTGTTCAATCCTCTAATTGTATTTGTATTATATCCCATAAAATCGGTTTAACCAAAAAAAATCCCATAACATCCGATAAGTAAAAAAAATTACATAAATTTTTTTACTAAAATAAAAAAGACTTTATTTATGATCTAATTGTATAGAAATCTGTTCTGATTTTATAGTACGTACTACAAATTGTGCACCCGTGTTCAGGAGCTACTTAACGGGCAAGTTCTGTGGAAATAACTCATTTAGTGCTTCTGTCCCGTGCATACGGTATGTATTTGTATTACACATACTAGAAAATTGTGCACCCCGTGCATTGCACCGACTCTGTACTAATAAATGACCTTAAAATTGTGTATCTCGTGCATCACCCGTGTTCACATTTTGGCCTATTGCAGGTCACGTACTATATATATCCCATACATTTTTCTTTATTCGTTTATATAATTATATGACTTGATAAATGACCTTAATTTTGTACACCCCGTGCGATCTAGTTGAAATTACAATCTTTCAGATTTTTTTTTTTTTTGTGGTACAAACAATCTTTCAGATTTTTGGTTCATGATGTTGGAATTAACTTTATGTGAAAACCATCACTATATCCCAAGAGCTTTCATATCAAATAATCGAGAATTAAACTAGATAGCGGAAGCGTACCTTAGGTGGATTTATAGATTCAATCACCA